GTTGTTCAGCTTGGGACAGTCTGTAATGTAGGAGCAGCACTGGTTTAGCCTTTACTGTTAGAAGTCTGATAAAAGAGTCACCTCATTGCTTTCTGTAGTTGCATTTCATAGTTCTTGGCTGGGACTGGTATTGCATAGATGCAGCTGATACATGTATTTACTTTCAAAGAAACCCATGCTATTTACTGTGAAACTTGGAAAAAGATTTCTTCAACACCTATCTGTACTCCTCCTCTCCAAAACCTTTTGCCTAGGACTACTGTTAGGTAGAGAAATATTAGGCAAGTCTCTATTTCAACAATTACCTTATACCACCCCAAATATTATGCCTTTGGGAGGAGTATTTGTTTTAATGTGCCTGCCTTTTGAATATGGAATTGTTTCAGCTTAACTGAAGCGACAGATAAAGCAGTAGGTTCTGGTTTCAGCCTTCCATACCAAATATTTGTCTGGGAGGGATAAGTCCTAAATTCAAAGTAACAGGCTACCTTCAAGTGAATTGATTATTTTTTTGCATTTTTCAATGAAATCAGTTCCAATACTTTGGGGTGACTGTTTCTCCTTGGCAAACTGGGAGGTGTGAGAACACAACATGCTTCATTTCCTACACTTTTTAGACACTAAGTATCATTCCCCCTCTTTGCTGTCCCCCAACCTAAAGGCAAAACAGTACTGCAATTGCAATTTATGGTAAATCAGATCCCTCTAATGTGCATTAGTCATGTTCCAAAAATACTTTTGGATATGACTTGGGTAGACAGCCTAATTTTATTAATTTGAACTGGAGCAATTCTAAGGAACTGCAGCAGTGTAACATTAACCTGGGGAGCCTGGTACAAACCTGTTAAAATGATGTATTTTTAGCATAATGGCCAGCACGTGAGACAGGGCCAAGCTGTGTTGTTGTGGGCTGAAAGCGAATGCATTTGTAATTCTAGGGGCAATATATGAGGGGAAAAAATAACTAATTCACTTTCTCAAAAACATGCAGTACCACTTCTGAAGTGCATTATTCTATGAGTGACTCTGAATCTCTCACTGTACCTGTCACAGAAGTTGGAAGGGTGTTTGACTTTTTCAGCTGCTCTCTTCTTTCTAGTCTTGACACAGTAGTCTCAATTTTCTTCTCCCCTTCCTGAGTTGATGATTTCGGCAGTGTGTTTGTTTTGCTGCTGCTGCTGCTTTTATTATCTGACTGATTATTCAGAGCAGCCTAGAGCAGAGAAGGAAAACAGCTAAATGAGAAACAGTTTGCCATGTAATGGCTACAAGTAAGAGATGATACTCTTGATGCTTTGATTTATCACTTGTCCTTTCCTTAACCTTCCTATTTAGGAAATGATCACAACACTCTGATACTTCTAAACTAACAGTTATTAGAAACCGTAAAACAAAAAGACCACAAAGTTAAATTTGTTGTGTTGTCATTTCGGGCAAAATACTGAAGAGTTTGAGCCTGCCCTACCTATTAAATACAGCACTGAAACCCAACATGCATCTGTGGGCAACTTCACACTCATGGCTGTGTTCTTCTGCCAGTTGTCTATGTCTCTGGTTATGCACATATATATCAGAGATTTGGGTCTTATAACAAACATCAAATTATACTTACTTATCCACATAATCTCCCTTTTTGCCATCTGTGGTATCTATATACAGCACCACTGTGTAGCATCACTTCTGCACTGGAAGTGTAAGTGCTTTCCTTACTAATAGAAAACTGCTGAGACTAAATAGCTATTTGGAGCACAGGCAAGAAGTGATACTGCAATTCAGTGCCTGCCTTAGGCATTTGGCTGTATCTTACGGTCGTTCATTTCCTTCATTCATCTGTATTTTATCCAAATAATACATTACAATAAAAATAAATTCAAACTTATTAATATTCACGAGAAAATGACTATTCCAGCTGTTATTTCCCAAGCATTAAAGGTGAACACCTTATTTACTCAAGCTCTGAAAGAACCATGTTGCACACAATTTTTCTGTTCCATCATCAGGCAGTGGTTGTGCTTATGACTGCCATTAATCACTGCCTGATATTAAGGTATCAGAGTTTATACTAGAATTGTCACACTATTGAGCAGTATTTTTTCTTGGAGGTCTTAGTTTTGCAAAAGGGAACTCTAGACTTTCAGACAAATGAAACATAAAAATACTTCCTTTCACATAAAAAAATTAGCTAACAGTTCCAGTTATAGTGTCAGTGTTTCTAATGGGCAGGTTTCTAAAGGTTGCTTACCATTTCTTTAGCCAGCCTCTCTGCTTGCTTGGCCTCTCTGGCTTGTCTCCTCTCTTCCCTCGTAGCTTGCTGCTCACGAAATCCCTTTTGCTTTTGCAGTGCTAATGTAATCCAAAGCGGTTGTGAAGTTTCCACTTTTTCCATCAATTTAGAGCCATCTAAAGAATGCCTGCTCTGGAGGACAGGCTTTTCTGAAAGAAAACATGGCAAGAATTGATTGAGTAATGCACATCTCTTGTCTCAGGCAAACCTGTACAACTTCTCTACCTTGTGAAAATGCTGGAGCTGAGCCCATTCAGTGCCATGCCAGTCACAGACCTTTGCAAATCCTGAAACAGGTTTTATGCCTCAGGACTAAGACCTAATTCAGCACATTTCATACAGCTGTCCAAATTTAGCCTTTTTTATTTTGTGAAAAAGCCTACTACAGACGCTTAGACTTATAGCCTTATTTACTCCAAATATTCACATTGCATGAGATATTTAGTCAAAGTGATACCTATGCCTTGATTTGTTTATAACTGATGAAAGGATCCAGCCAGAATGTACTGCAGTTCCCTGGTTTTTCAGCCATAATTAGGGGAAAAAGAGTGTCAAAACAAGTGGACCAAAATCATGTATTTCTGTAAATTCTGTTAAAAAAATATCTTTAATTTTTTTAAATTGTCACTTGACCGTTCACCTTTCTGTACCCTGAATGGAGTCAGAACAGCACCCAGAACAGAGCTGTGAGTGGCAGGGAACAGCACTGGGGTGCAAAGGTGCTTCTGCAGAGCTCAGCAAGCACAGAAACTCAGCTGGCCTGGACCCTGCTTTTCCAGCCAGCAGCTGTGCCTCCAACTACTTTCCAGAAATCCTTACTTTTAAAAAATGAATGTCAAAAGTGTAAAAAAATGTCAATAATAAAAAAAGGAGGCAATTCCACTGAGATACAGTTTTAGAAACGTCCAAGTGCTTGCAAAATTCAAGAATAAAAACCACTGGGATTTCCCAATGAAATGCTGAATTCCTGCCTTGCTCTTTTGAGTGCCCTTATGCTGAAAGGATAATTTTTCCTCTTGTGCAGATGCTATTTCAGGACACAGGGACTTTCAACCCTCCTCTCGTGAGCCACTATGGCCACTGTAATTGTTTCTATTACTGAAGAGTGCCCCTGAAAAGCAGACTCCCATGCCCAGCTACATTGGGTTGGATAGAGAACTTGCCCAGGAGAAGGGGACCTAGATCTTAATATTTTTTTAACTTAGATAACATTCCCCTAAAAAATAGAAACAATAGAATGTACATTTTACAAATCACATCCTCTGTTCCGATGACACCATTAAGCATGGACCACAGAATCCATCCCCTGACTAACCAGGTAACATCTCTGCCAAGGAAAACACACACTTCTGTTACCTCCTTGAAATTAACTTTCTTAAGCAAATCACACTGGTCACACTGTGTGTGTGTGTTTCTGAATTAAATTGTGGGGATGGGAAGTCTCACTCATTCAGACAACCCTAAGCAAAGTAGTGGTCCTCCACAAACAACATGCCAGGTAAAAATTCTAGCTTAAGACCAAATGACTTCCTCTGCACCTCCAGCATCTCATTTTGGCAATGCAGACAACAGCTAAATGTGCTTTGAAAAACACATACCTTTCTTCAATGGCTCAGGCTTTTTGTCATTTTTTTCTCTCCATGGAATACTTAGGGATGGGAAAAATGACTTCTTTTCTTTTATTTCTTCCTCTTCATTTTTGTACTCATTGGATGGTGTGGGGTGTGCTGCATTTGCTCTGTCTTCTTTTCTCCAGCCACTGTCTGATTCAGCTTTAGCTACTCTTTGCCCCAGAGTTTCAGATAGGTTTGATCTGTTCATTTTAGAGAGAGGAGACGATGGTGGGGTCTGACTGGTGGGCTTTGGAGCTAAAGCAGGTTTCTGTGGGACCAGTGACTTGCATGCTGGGGGAAAAGCACTCTGGCCAAAGGCTGCTGGGGCCACTGGTTGTGTAAACTCCACCACAGTAACTGAAGAGTCTTTTGTATTACCAGGGACATTTGCTCTCCCCACACCAGGTGAAGTATTCTCTTGTGGAGCAAAAACAGGGGATTCTTTCTCACCTTCTGTTGAGGGGAGTGGGTCAGGCACACCATCAAAACTGTCTCCTGCACTGTATCTTTTCTTTTTCCTTTGCTCTGCCTGCTGATCATAATGGAAACGTAAAGAGTAGTTTGTCCTTCGTAACTTTATGCCAAAAGGAGAAACGTTTTCTTCTCCATTTGGTGATGGTTTATCTGCTTTTTTTGTGCTGTTATTTTGCTGATTTTCCAGAGCGCTGGGAAGTTCTGACTGGGGTAATTCTTTTCCTGTAGGATGAGAAAAACTCGGAACAAGAAAAGATGGAAGATCTTTTGCAAATTTGCAGCCTTCTGTATTGTCTGTCACTTCACTGTGTGTTTCCATTTTCTCCTTAGCCTTTTCAGCTAAGTTATCCTTAAGAGCGGAAGCCACGCTCTCCTTCGAATCGGCAGCTGAGCCAGTGGTTCTCCCCATAGCCACTGTTTCATTGCCTTTTGCCACATTTACATTCTCAGCATCTGAACTGGTTCTTGAAACATCTGAAAATTTCTGCCATGCTGGTGTTATTGAAAACTTGGCATTTGCAGAGAGGGTTTTCCTCAAGTTGCCATGGGGAGTACCTCGCCCTCGGGGTGTCCAGTCATCACTGTGCCTGCAGACACTGACTTGATCTGTCTCATTATATTTGTTGTTTTCTGCATTCTTTAGGATTCTGGAGCGGATAGAGGCCCACTCAGCTAGTACAGCCTGGTTGTTCAGTGTCTCTTGTGCATGTTTCATTTTACTGCTGCTGGGTTTGGGATCGTGTTTTTTCTTCTGGGACTTTTCTGGTGAAGGAATATCCACATTTTTCCTCTCTTCTGTTAAGCCAAGTAATGATTTGCAAGCTGTGTCCTTTATCTGGTTCAGGTCAACTGCTGTGCCACACAGCTGTGCTCCAGTAACCAAAATAGCTGTGTGGGGTACACACACAGATGATGGGAGAGTATGAGAGCCCTGACTGGTTGTGTGCATCCTGCAGTCTTTGGAAGAAGAGAGTCCTGCTCCTTTCACGGGCATGACAGGGCTCAGATTTACTTTCTGAAATATGATCTGTTTATCTCCAGAAGACACTTGAAATGTGAAGGGTCTGGATGCAGTTTGTCTTTCATCTACCTCTTGCCACCGAAGTTCTTCCCCTATGCGCTTTTGCTCCTGAGCCTCAACTTCCCTCTTCAGTTTCTGGGCTAGCATTTCTTCTGCTGTTCTAGTCCCTTTTTCTGGCTGTTTGAGTTTTTGCACTCTTGATCCTTGGAGCTTTTCCTCTACTGGATGCCTATCAGCCCCTCCAGAACATAACTCATCTTTGTTCTGTGACTGTTCCAAGGATTTTTCTTGGTTTTGCTGAAGATTTTGTCCTTGTGTGTCTGCCTTCTGCTCTTTTAGCTTGTTCCATTCTTGTCTATTTTGTTCCTTTTGCTCCTTTGGTTCATCTTGTGGCACACCCTCTGAACTTTCCATGTGCATTTGTTTTGTAAGTTTGTGTTTCCTCTGGTCTTCCCGTTTCTTTTTCTTATCCATGACTTGCTGGGATTGTTCCTTCTCTGTCTTTTCTCCTTTCTCCTTCAGATGCTGCCTTTGTTCCTCCTGTTTCTTCTCTTGTTTGAGGCTGTCAGGTTCTTTCTCCTTCTTCTGTTTTATTTCTTGAAGCTCCTTCTCTTCTAGCTCTTGTCTCTGTATTTCTCCCTTATTTTGGTCCTTGAGTCCTTTTTGTTTTTCCAGCCGAGTTCTTTCTTCTTCCTCTTGACACTCTTTTTCAATCCTGTGCGGCCTTAATTCTTCCAGTGCTAGCCCCTTCTGCTCCTCCAGCTCTCGTCTCTTTTTCTCCTCCAGCTCCTTGTGCTTCTGCTCTTCCCATTCCTGGTGCTTCTGCTCCTCCAGTTCCTGATGTGTCTGCTCTTCCTGTTCCTGGTGCTTCTGCCAGCTCTCGTCTCTGTTGCTCTTCCTGTTCCTGGTGCTTCTGCACCTCCAGCTCTTTTCTCTGTTGTTCCTCCCGTTCCGTTCCTGTCTTCTCCTCCAGCTCTTGTCTCTGTTGCTCCTCCTGTTCCTTGAGCTTCTGCACCTCCAGCTCTCGTCTTTGTTGCTCCTCCAGCTCCTTCTGCCTCTGCTTCTCCAGTTCCTGGTACTTCTGCTCCTCCAGGTCTTGCCTCTTTTCAGCCTCCATCAGTCTTCTCTCCTCTTTGTGGCATGTTTGCTCTTCTGTTTTCAAAGATGTCTCTCCTTCAAGGAGATGCTGCCTCCTCTCTTCTTCCTGCCTTTTCTCTTGTTCTTTCTGCATCTGCTCAAGTTCTTGGCGCCTTTTTTCTTCCATTTCTCTTTGTTCTTCCATTTCTCTTTGTTCTTCCATTTCTACAATCTGTCTTATCCTTTCAGCCTCAAGGATCCCCAAGTGATCTTCAATGCTTTGCTCTTCTGCCATCTGAAGCTGCTTCTGCTCGTCTCTGTCCTGGATTAGGCTGTCTGCTGTGAAATGTCCATTATAACCTGGATATATGTCCCCAAACAGTGGAGTTTCTAGGTCATCTGGTTCAAATTCTGTTATTGTTAAACTCTGTGATCCCTAAAATTGGGAGACAAGTTTGGAGTTACTGAATATTGCCTATTGTCTTGTTATTCTTTACAATGAACAGAGTTGTGAATGCAAAGCACTTTTCTTTTAAACAGTGATTTCCACCCAGAGCCAACACACCCACCCCAATTTATGGATCACATCATCATAGATCCCATGTCTCTCACCTATTCAGATGATAGCCTTTAGAAAGAAAACAGTATAATGCTAAATACCAAATCACCACCTGGTGTACATTGAGAGCTGCCACTTCAAATTTACAGAAGCCCAAGGACTAGAGCACAAGTTTCACATGCCCGTTTACTACTTAGAACTCCATCCTTTAAGTCTGAAATAATTAATGCCTGCTTATGGGCATTGTTTTGCCAGTTCTATCACAGCAAATCTAGCTGTTACTTGCAGAGACAGAAGCTGTTGCCTGCAGAAAAGAGCTCTGCAATGCTAGCTCAGGGAAACACAATTTGGTTGCTTTTCATGAATCCTGAGCCAAAATATCTTCCTCATTAGCTGCACTGAGACTCCAGGGCTATTGCAGGAACTGTGGGGACATGCATGGACAGTGCACCTAGAGCTCCCCAGGAATAATTGCACTGTTCTGTACTGGGGCATGTGCTTACCACTGCCCAGCTCTCCATGCCTGCCCCATGGCCCTGGCATGTGGGTGCAATATATGCAACAGACTGCAGATCATCTTCACAGCTTACTCGCTGTCTCTGCAGTGACATGATCTGATGAGCTGTACCTGAAGAGTGTTTCCCAGCACTTCCCTTGAGGAAAACAGCTCAGCTAATATGCTGTCTAGCTATCATTTGTTAGCCACCATTTGGCTCCAGTTAACCATTCTGTATAAACAAGATTTTTAATTAAACTTCTACATTGCAAGAGTGATAAATGCAAGTACTATGGTGAGGAAGAAAGGACAGTAGCCTCTCCTGAACCCTGTGCAGTTGAATAGTCCCATTAACAAGCACTAGTAAGATGTCAGAATGAAAAAAAAAAACAAAACAGCTGTGCAGTAAGTGTACAAAGTTAGAATTTGATAATTGACTCTATGGCTGTTGCAAGAGCTAAATTACTTAAATCTTATTCTTTATTCAAAGACAAAGATAATACTCCTGCCAGAACCCAAGTCAGTTTTAGAGAATCTAATGTCCCAAACAAATTTTGCATGATAGGATTGCCTATGCAGGAGCAGTGGCAGGTAACTTCAGGCCTTTACGACCTAAACTTTTTCCTAGAAAAACTAGAATTAGAAAGCTCTCCCAATGTAAAATCCTGGTGGTACTTCAGGTGTGAGTAGCATTTATCTTAACTGGCAATATTAAAACTTCTTTGTATCTTCTCTTCAGCTAGGGTTTCAGCTGTAGGTCTCTCTCTTGACTTCAAATAACACGTAAACACTAACAAATAACACTGCTAATAACAGTGTTAATCACATCTTAAGACAGTCCTCTGCCTACAGCTCCTGCTGCACTCAGTTATGGTTAATTTACACCCAGCTTCAAAGTAATCTCCCTCCTCTTGCTGTTCGGGCAGTGATTTAATACCTTTGTTAATCTCTTGTGCTTTCTTGACATCCTCTGCTTTTTTGGCTTCACTGACATCTTGTGCTTAGCTGCACTGTTGTCTAGACGAGCAACAGCCTGGGGAACTGAATCCAAATTGATTGTTTCAATTGTGCCAGAATAGGAAAATTGTCTTTTTGGCCGAGCTGATTTCACTGGAATGACCTGTTGGTATCACAAACAGAAGAGACTATTATTAAGCTATTTGTTCCATTAAATAAATAAATAAATAATACACACATACACAAAAGTGTTTGCGGGTTTGAATTCAAAGGAGTTATTAGCAGAAAAGATTTGAAACTCTGTTTTTCCATTATAAAATCACAAACTTCAGACATTAAAGTAACAGCTCTAATATCTTCCCATTTTAGAGTACTATGCATTTTTATACTTTTCATGTAAAAATTACTTAGACCATTCTAACTGAAGTTTATTCACAGTTTAGCTGCACTCTGAACTTGTTGGGAACGGGAAGGGCACAGGCAGGGTTTCAAGCAACATCAAATACCAGGACATTTTAAAGTTTGTTTACTGTGGATGAAAGATCTACATCTTTAAAGAGTTTAGATTATACACTTTAGGCAAAAGCAAATCAGATTGACTTATCTAAGCATTATAATAGAACAGCTACAGAGCTGTATCATCTGAATGGAAGACGACTGTGGTATTGGATCTTGGACTGGCACAGGGCCTGTGGAAAACCTTCCCTCCACAGTCATGTGGAGTTGTCCAAGCCAGCAGCAAACAGCAAAAAATAAAATAGGACAACACTGGCTTTGATGGGTGCTTTTTTCCTCTTTGCCCTTCAAGTACCTGGGTTCAGAAAGTGCAAATATAAGCAAAGTGATTCAGTGAGACTCCTCTCATTAATAAATACAGTGGAACTGTATATCTAGGCATGTAAGAGTGAGCCTGTCATCAGTCTCTCCCATAAATCACCAAGCTATCATCCCAGGACTTGCATTTGGCATAATCTAAATGGAAAAAGAAGACAGGGGAAAAAAATAAGGGAGAAAACATCCTGTGTAAGGAAAGAAAATCACATTGTTTTCAAGACAGCTCTGTAATCTTCTGAGGTTAAACATATGCTAATCAGGGAACCAATTACTTAAAAGCTGAAGGAACATTTTGCATATGCTTATTGAATTACATGCAGGCATAACAAAGTAGTAGAAGTACTTATGAAAATTATGGCTCTGTGATTAATACATCAAATACAGGAATGCTGCAAGACTGGCAGAGACTGAGTCCTGCTGTTTCCTGCAATCAGCTCTTACAGATTTCTCAGTCTTAGTTATTGCTTATTTACTAGTCCCAAAACTGTGCAATGTTCACAAACTCTTGGATGATCAATGAAACAATGAAATATGTATGAAAGCAAAAACTGTCAGGCTTCCAATATCTAAAATTAGAATGCAACTCAGTGCAAGCCAAGTGTAAAAGGTTTTTTTACCTTTTCTTCCACTTCATGTCCTGTTCCAGGCAAATTCATTGTTCTCAAGAAATCCAGACTGTCACTGGACTAGAAAACAAGATTACCACAGACAAGTAATAAAACGCAAAGGATCTAATAAATATGATTCAAAGGACTTGTGAAATCATGCATGTTGGAGTAGGATTTGTATCCTGTTTCCTATCACTGCAGGACTGATGGATAACCAGTTCTTAAATGCTATGAGTTTCTCTTTGCTGCTCCTTGAATCACTGCTGTATATACAGAAGCAGTTGGTGCTACAAAACACTATAAAATGCAAAACACTCAGGCTTCCTTCACAAGATAAGTGGGTTCCAAAACAAAAGAAAGAGCACAGCTTGGTAGGGTTTCAATCAGCTCTTAAGAACTTTATTTTCTCCTGACACACACATAAGGAATAAACATAGGAAGCTGATCAGGCACTACCTCTACTGCAAGGAGTTTCAACTCCAGGTTCTTGATGACTCTTCTTTTTACTGAGCAAACTGTTCCTCCAGAGCAATGAAAGCCTGGAGGACTAGGACTCTTTAGCTACTGTCTTTTTCCAAGCCATCTCACAGGGGGTGGATTTTTAAGGCACAGGCATTGAAGGAGCATTCCTCACACCCAGAAACACTGGGTTTAATAATTTTATCATAGTATTACTTCATAACCAAATGAATGTCAGGATCCCATTACACCAGGTGCACATGATTGTTAGTACAAAGCATGAAAAAACAGCTTCACAAATATAGGTTCAGTGAAACCCAGAACTCTTGCCACTGATCCAGGTTATTCAGTCAGGAAAATCAGAAGTTGCAAAGCATCATAGGAAACCTGTCCAAAGTAAAGAGCAGCACTATGTGGTTCTGAGCATCAACTCCTGACAGAAGTCACCCCATCCCCTAGGACCTATGCAGACAGACACATTGAGGAGTTACAAGGCAAATAGAAGAGACAGGAGCAGAAACCAGAGAAGCTGCCACATGCCAGAAATTTGTGAGAACACAGTTAATGTGTGCAGAAACAAAAGGAAAGTACCAAGAGCCTTGGCTGACTCTATGCATGTAGTGTTGGTTTGCTTGTGTCTACAATCACCTCTGAGTAGGGATGTTTGCTCCTTCAGTATTTGGAAAAGGAACTATGCAAAGGTGTGGTCGTTTTTTTTTCAAAACTTGATATTTAAAAGAGTAGGTGGTAAGGACTGAATCTTTCCCTCCTTATTACACAAAAAGTACTCTAGTGGTTTTTAGTGCTTGAACTATTATGTCCTTTGAGCTGGAGGGCCCCAGGGGACATTAGGGTCTCCTGCAGGATCCAGTAAGAAGGCTGTCTGCAGAGAATCTCTGCTGGTCTCCAACACAAACTCTCACCTAGTACACACAGAGTATATAGCCCAAACCTGTCCACAGCCCCACTGCACACTTTGTGCTCTGAGGCACACAGGATGCTTTTGATTCACCTTAACGGATTGCTTCAGAGGGGAGTATTTGTGAAAAAATACACCTTGGTTTAGCAGGGGTGGGGTGTGACTAGATGACCTGTAAGGTTCATTCCGAACTCTAAACTTCTATGATTCATTTTTATCCTTCCAGAATGCCGATGGAAAGGCATGAGTGTGCAGGTTCTACCCAAATCCCTGGCTCCCTGACAGATCTGACCACAGAGGAGCTATGCTGCCCCTCAAAGACTGGTGAAGAATTTGAGCCACCTCAGTCATAAATCTCCCTTCTGTGTCTTTGGCTGAACACAGGCATGAGCTGCAGAGGACACTTCCTGCCTTGGCCCTTCACACATCCAGCACTGCTGTTAGTGAACACAAGCAGAGGCTCATGCCCTGGTGTCCTACCAGGATCTTAAGGGTTGCCTGTACTTGATGGGTTGATTCAGTCCTTCCCCAAAGGTTCCCAGGCACAAAGTCAGCCTCCTCCAGGCATGGAAGAAAGTCCCTCTGTCCCCTGTGCTCCTTTCTGCCATTACTGTGACATACAGAACCAGACTTGCCTTAGAGAATTTCCAGAGACCTTTCCTCACTCACTGTGGTTCCTCACTTTTCACAATCTGAACAAAATCCTTCTGGATACCTGAATGTCCACAGTTCCTGATATCAAAATCTTCATGAATAATTTGAATAATTATTTGAGTTATACTGGACATTTGGATTTAGGGAGTGTTCAAAATGCTTATCCCCCTTCTTTGCCTTTGGCTCCTGTTCATGAGAAACATGGATACTCACCATATGACCTAGGATTTTACAGGTTTAGGCTCCAGATCCCTCTCATTTTGGAACGATTTTACTTTTTGCCATTTGATGTTGTGAACAACTTTCCTTGTGGGGAAGTCCATATTGCAAGATATTTTCTGGCTCAGAAAATTTTCCCATTTTCTAGCTACACTGCAAGTGATGTCTGCATTGCTGGATGTTCAGAGCAAACACTCAAACCAGTAATTCTGTGGGACACAGCTCAGGATGCCAAGAGCATGTGTCCCCCCAGGTCCAAGAAGCATAAGCTGAGAGATCCCTCCCACACAGAACAGCACACTGAGCTCAGCTACACCTCACTGGAGACATCTGCTACGCCACACTGAACTTTACTCTTTTAGTGCTGCTACAATGCCATGAACACATCAATTTAAAGTGCTTACTTTATTACCACTCTCTGAGATCACTGTGTCCTGCTGAGTCTCAGCCTCCATGGAGCTGCTGAACAACACATCCTCTTCTGCACTGGTGTTTGCCTCCCCCATTGTCCTCGCAGAAACTGTCATTTGTGGAGGCTGCCCAAATTTTATATTCTTGGCCAACTGTTGCTGAAAAACAAGAAGAGGAAAAAAAACCCAAAGTAACAATGAAAATATATTTATATTACAAGCAAAACAAGCCAAGTCTAGCACGTGCCCCTTCTCCGTCTGAAAGCTGCACAGAAACATTCAGGGCAACTTCTGACTCTAGACAAAAAATAAAGTCCAACTTGAGGCTGACATTGCTGCAACATGGTGGGCAATCCTCTTCTTTCTCCCCAGAAAGTGACCAAGGTCAGGAATTTACTCTATGACTTCCGATTTTGGATGATCAGAGTACCTGACTGTGTTGCCAACTTTTGCAAACTTACTGTGAATTTTGGAACACTCCATCTCTTTTTTTAATCTGTGTTCTAGGTTATGACTTTATCAAAGCTAATTATGCAGCCTTATTGTTGGCAATAAATTATGAGCCAAGCATAGACTGAGAAACTAAAACTACTCCAAAAGGCAACCTTTTTCTTTTCCAGCCACCAGCATCTCATGTATTTGCAGTTTTTAAAGATATCCTTATTGTAATGTTTAATCACAAGTTTTAAATGGTCAAGGTTTGGCACAACTCTGCCTCAGAGGAGACTAATTCTCTAAGGAGAGGAAACCCAGCTCTTTTAGATGCTTTATCTCATAGGAGCAATATACAAACTCATGCCTGCTGATGCTTATGAGCACTGTCACTCGCTGCTGTTGCACCAAGATGTTTAGGCACCAGATGAATGGATAAAAGAACTTTCCCACCATTTATTTTTCTTGTTGAAGTAATCTTCTCTCAAGGGTTACAAGAAAGTACTCTTGAATTACATCAAGTGTAAGATGAGTAAAATAAGTAGCATATAATATCTGGTAGGGTGAGTTAGAGAAATAGGAGCCATTGCTACTGCAGAGACACATACCATACACCCTTTGAAAGTGAACTTTTTGCAAAAGAATTAGAAGAAATTCTCTAGAAGGAGCAAATGGAGTAAGGAACATTTAATCAACCCATTCCCTTCCTGAAATATTTCAGGGAATCATTTACAATGAGGAAGGGACTGTGCAGTTATTTTCTTGCTTTGCTGTCCTTAAAGCACAGAAAATTTCTCCAAAAGAGCTCTCCTATTTCTGTGCTGTGATACTAGGAAAAAGCAATTCAATTGCGCAGCTTCTATTCAGTGGAAATGTCAGGTACTTACACAGTCCTCTCACATGAGTTTGCCACTGAGAACTGTAGAAGATTGGAGTAGCTAGCATATAAAACAAAGAAATTTTTTTTTCCTATAGCACAGAATCAGTAGCATGGCTTAGGTGAGCAGTTGGCAAGGAAAGATATCCTCTAAAAGGATCCAGGTCAGATCAGTCTTGCTTCCCATCACTGCCTGGTGGGCTAGACTCATATAAAGTTTATGCATATTACCTCCAAAACATTGATAGATTTCGGTGTTGAACCATTAAGACTAAAAGAGCATGCAGAAACTCCTCCTAATCAGATCATTAAATTAGAATAGTTTTTATCAGTCTCCTCATTGAGTTAATTATTTATGCCATTTGAATTTTGGCAGAACGTAGCTAAATTCCTATAGTATACCATTTTGGCATAGTGGACAGTTCCGAATGAATTCGAATTTTCTGACAAATCAGACTTTTAATCCCACCTGGATTGCTGGCAGTGCACCCATAGTCTAAAGGCAAGGGTTTCACCAGGGCTTTCATGTTAGCAGTGCAACTCTCTGACTTGAAATCTTACAGGTTTCCATTCTCAGCACCAAAACTGCACAGCTACCACACATGACATTTATACCACGAAGCAGTGGCTGGAGAGACCACACACACAGGGGAGCTTTAGGATGAGATCCAGGCCAGGGTTTCCTCATCCAATTTTTTTTTTCTATATGAGATTCATGAGATTCCTAAATGATTCATGAGAGTTTGTCTATTCACACAGAACTTGGATGGCTATCAGCACAGTGCCATTCAGTATGAGGTGAGGGGCACGGCTGCACATCTAATACACACAAATAAACACCAGGAATTTAGCAAAAATTTAAAGTTTGTACTCGTCTGACTTTTAAAATCTTCCTCAGTAACTGGACCAAGACACAGGGCCACTTCTATTTCACACAAAATAATTTGCTAAAGTGTGATACTACTTAACTGACACCAGCTTAGCATTAATAACTTCAGAAATAAAGCTCTGAAGTTAAATTGCTCTGTGCTGTCTGGCACCTGCAGCAAATAAAAAAGCTCAGACTTTCAAAGCACTCTTTGCATTTGCATAGGAAATGCCACAGAACAAGCTCTCCATATTAACTGGCAGAGAGCCTGGATCAGGCTGTACCTCTCCTCCTTCACTCCCATTTGGCTCCTCTTCTGTCTACATGCCTGTTTGCATGTGTGTTGGACTCAGGTCCCTGAAACCACACCATTCATACAGCTTTGTGCCTGGACTGAATCCAAAACCAGATTCCACTGAGCTGCTTACTCTGCTCGGTTAAAAAACACTAAAATGGAGTGTACTATTTCAGCTGATTCCATTCTAGACAAGTCTTTAAAGAAATGTTGGTCATATTTTACCTTCAACTCAAATACCCATTTTTCCCATCTGTTTGCAATACAATGAAACTTAAATGAAATTAAGTTTTCTACTTACAAATAATTGTAAAATTATGATTTAATCAATACTTGCCCTGAGAAGAGCCATGTTGTTGAAATTCCATTTGGTTGTGTACAGTCTCTCAGAATGACCCAAAAATGCCTTGAGAATACACAATAACAGGGTGAGTCCATACTGAGATGCTCCTTGAAAATGCTCCAATGATTTGTGGCATCTGAAGACTTTAAAGTCAATAGCCAGTTTAGAATTTTCCTTTTATGAATTTGTTTTGTTGCTCTTGGAACTTCTGTAACTACTTCACAAGTAGCAGCCCTGTACGGCACTTATTTCTGCAGTTTAACTTTGCTTGAAGAAATATTTGTTTTGGTTTGAAAGTGCTCCTGGTTTCAACTGGTGCTCATGTGTCCTCATGCTGTGAAAGACTGAATAATCATCCTCTATTCATTTTATCAGTTCCACTCATGATTTCATGAATATCATATTCTCTCTTATAATTTCTTTTCTAGGCTGAGAAGACAGTTCACCTAATTAGTCTTTCTACAGAAGTGAGTCCACTTCTTAATCCAAACAGGAAAATCTGCAGCATATCTAAACAAATGAAACACCCCACATAAGTCTGGGGTTTTTTAACCAAAGAGAGAATAAGTCAGAAAGCATTATGTGAGAAGTTATATTGGTATACCTGGAGGCTTTAGAAAGCAAACTAGTTTTTTAACCAAAGAGAGAATAAACCAGAAGGCATCATGTGAGAAGTTATGTTGGTATACCTGGAGGCTTTAGAAAGCAAACTAGGTGTAAAATTAACATGGAAACCTACTGAAAATGAGGAAAATAAGTATTAGCACAGATCTTTTGGATATAAGATGCAGGGAGGGAACTACTCCACTCCCCATTGCTGGAGCAGCATGTGGTTTGGGGCATTACACTTGAAGAAAGTTTTTTGTGAGAGTCCAAAACAGATGCAAGGTGAAGAAGCAAACTGTAAATGGATCTTTTTTGTGAGAGTCCAAAACAGATGCATGGTGAAGAAGCAAACTGTAAATGGATCTCTAGAGATCCAAATCTAGAGATGTGTATTTGCAGCAAATCCAGATGCAAATGCAGATTTTGGTATACAGTGGCCACTTACTTACAGAGCAAGACTTTCTGGAGAAGCCTGAATATACTGACAGCATCTGTGGCATCTGTCACCTGAGTCTCTTCTCAAGCAAAGCAGATGCAAGGAAGGAAAATGGAAGCTCATTTTCAAGGCTTACTATGATCATAGGAAAAAGAGTGTCTGCCCAAGAAATGCTCAAATGGTTCAAAAAAAAAAAGATAAATTCAGTTTATAAAGTCAAAACAACATTCAAATATGAGTTAAACAATTAGGCTGCAGTGGCACTGGAAAATATTGGCAACAAAGAAATTAACTGTAAGAAATACAAAGCTGGACAATTGTGCAGTGAAAATTTACTCCCAGTTCTGTAAAATGCAGAGCATCAAGTCAAAAGATAATAACTCTGAAGTCTGGCAAATGACTTTGTTGCCTTGTTGAGAGCTGGGCAATACCAACAGAGGCAACAATGGGAATGGCTGGTAGAATACAGATGTGCCATGCACAGTAGGGGAAGCACTGGCTTGATCATTAGCTAAGCTATGCTAATGACTAAAAGAATTGGAATCCAAAACTGAAGAGTCATTACGTCTGACAGGAAGAAGATTATCAGGGGCATTCATAATTACAAAGCCAGGAAAATCTGATTTTTAAAAGTGGTCCTTTATTATTTGATCAAAAGTCAGGATATCCAAAAAATATTTTATCATAATTAATATCTTTGTAATAAATGGGTGTTTTGTACATGTACAGAGCAGAGGGTTTGTTTTAAACCATGTGCCCACATGAAACAGAAAGGCTGTATGTAGTGCAGTAGTTCCTAAATACAGTAGGCCATATGTCAATAGTTAACCTTTAATATTTCCTGCAGCTGATTGCTGCAGCCTCATGGATGCCAGATGACCTGGGATACTTCCAGTGAAGGCAACAAGCAGTTCTCCTGCCTCCTGAGGCAGCAGCAGTGCCTCACCACAGTATGGCCACAGCAAAAGGCAGAGAGTGGCTTAGAGGCTTCAAGATACTAATGTTCTAAACAAACTTCCATTTTAATTCCTGCAGTTTTTGAGAGTCTGAACCAAAAATTGTCTTCTAGTCATCTGCTGACCATTTCTGGCAACTACCTGTGGTAGAAAGAAGAATCACAGCTACAAAATGTGAGGCAGTTGTTCTAAGACACTTCGATGGAAGAAAAAAAACACACCCAGGAATTGGAGAGATGTAAAACCAAGCTCCCAGAGTTTCTTTTATTCTTTTTTTTTTTTTCCTGACACACTGATAGATTTACATTGTAAACATTCCTTGTGTCTCACTCATATTCCTGTAAAGTAAAGCAACGGATCCCCAGAAACTAGGAAAGTTCAGCATTAAGAGTCCCAGTGCCTGGGAACAGGTTCAGGCTGCTTTTCTATACTGGATCTTAAAAACTAGGTAATGATAAATCTTAGCAGATCTAAAGGGCAAGGAAAAGATTGCTTTTACAACAGCAGATTGCTTGAGCTGACAGAAATAACTACAGGATACACAAAGGCTATTGGAGGTTGACAAGAGGTCAAACTTTTCTCAGCCTGACTTCTAGCACACACTAAAACCTCTGAACATGACCAAATCTGTTTACAGAAAACATGATAAGATGAATGCTGCCAATCTGAAAGTCAATAAAAACAAGTGACAGCAATTCCAGAAAGAACTAATCTACCTTGCACACAGAATCAGAAAGAGAGAACTCCCCCAATAAAAAGCTGAACCAGTGCACATGTTGGCCAGCTGCCCAGACTACTACAGAGTTTAAACCACTACACAACTTTTTTTGTGGGTTCAACAACATTCCAAAGTCAGCAGAAATGCAAGGCAAGAAGGAAAAAACACCTTGGCGGTGCCCAGAACGAGACCCAGCAGCATCAGTGTAAAATGCCTTGCATTGCTATTCTGATTTCAAGACCCTTTTCACCATGCTGTCTATTGGGCTTGTAAGTATGGTGTCTTGGAAAAAAAAAAAACATTTAAGTTTTCCAGGAATGTTCACTGTGCCACCCCAAAACAAAAAGTCCCAAAAGGGGCTAAAATCTTCAGATCTTTTGATCTCAGTTTGGAACACAGGAAGTTCCCTGTTAAGCATCAGCACAGGGAAATGAATCCTGAAAACAATTCTTTACTGAAGAGCATCTTGCCAGGTAAGTAGAAACTGCAAGCGTTGTGCTTCCACTGTGACATATAAGTCTGGGCAAAACCACAGGAATACTGGTGGTGTGGCAATGACTTGAGTCTAGGAGCTGGGCACATGGAGCCTTTTCATGGGTTTATGAAAAAGATTCCATGGACATTTAGATGAATATATAACTTCTGTGTAAACATGCAAATAGTTAAAAGTGTAGTTTGCAATCTATTATGCATTTCCTTTCTGAATGAATGAGTTGTGTTCACCATCAGCAGCAGAGTGGAAAAATGAACCATGTGTTACAACCTGGGTTCCAGATGCACTAAAATGACAAAAATGAACTGTCATCCTTCAGTTTTAAATAAAAAGGCAAGCAGATTTTGGACATCAAGCAGCTGAAACAATACTCCCCCTTAAAATCCATGCGAATAACCACACCAAGAAAAGGTTTATGTGAAGTTCACACGAGCAAGAGCGTATCACAGGCTATTTATTTTGTGACTTTCAAGGGGGACTATTTTGCTTAATTTTCTTGATTTACCATTTGTTTATTGAAGATAGTTGTTAACAACTGCAGTAACTCTATTTTTACCAGGTCTTTCCATTTACTGAAGGCAATAATTTCCACTGGGAGTTTTGAAATGGAGAAGCCAACACTAAAATTCAAAAGTTATTCAGATAAAAGCAGCATACAGAAGATAGGGAGGGCACAGCTCCCTGGAGAAGTTGGTGAGCTTTGTATTTGAAGGACACTGCAAGACAGGGTCAGCTACCTTATGTCTTTGCCCAGAGTCAGCAGTCATTTTAAATATAATGCTTTCCAGCCTGGAAAACAGCATGCACTGAATCTCCCTGACCCAGGGAAATGTAAGCTCAAAAACCAGCACAGAGGAATTGGAGCTGTCCTAGTGTGGTTTCTACTTCAGAGTTCATCCACAGTCAGCACAGCCAGCACTGTTCAGGTGCTCTGACTGCTGACAGCACCAGGCAGGGAGCAGGAACAATTTCATCCTGAAGGTCAGAGCTGTCTACTGTGCATGATCTCTCCCACCAGAAAAGATGGACCATGCATAGACTTCAGAGGTAAAAGAAATCAATGGTATTTTACTAGTCAGCTACAGGATAACAGCACTTGCATAGCATTAAAAATTTATCAGCATTTTGACAGGACATGTCAGAATCCTGAGCAATAAAGTGCAATGTGCTTCTGAAGGACAGCTCTTCCAAGGCCTAAAAAGGTACAGAGCTGGGCATCTTACAGATGTACAAGACATAAAGCAAAAAATTAGTTGGAGTACTAATGGGGCAGAGTTCTGGAAAAGAAGGGAAAGTAGGTCATGTAAAGCTCTTTAGAAGCAGTACCCAAGTGTGTTGTTTATGCTTTCGAGAGATAAACAAATCCACCTTTTGTGTGAACCACTGAAAGGACAGTGAGAAAAAGGAGAAAAAGGTGCAATACATGTAAAGATGAAATCAAATTGGCTTCACAAAGAAATCTCACTGCATGCCATTCCTTGCCACCAACACACCTCACTTTTTCTCTCAGTACCACACCTGTAGGACTCAGGCAGACAGATCAAGATGTGCCAAAACCATGAGTTCAATTCAAATGAGTTCCACAAGACACAGACATGTCTGCAGATATGATTGCAGCATCACTGAAGTACCTTTCAAGACCAAAACCTAGAACCTCTGCAGATTATCTAAATTACTTAATATGGGTTTTTAGCCAGACAACTTAACATGGCTGAGAAACTTCCCCAAGGCTCTTGGAAAAGCAAACCATCTTTTTGCACATTTAACACATTCTGGAGACTATTTTCCACTGCATTTTAAATATTTTCCCACTTACAATTTCTTACCTGGAGTGTTTTGACTTTTCCTAAAACGTTCTCCTGTGACATTGCTTGGATGGCCTGTTCACTCTCGGTTCTCCCATCAGGTATAAAAATACTATCATGGGAGAAAGCACGACTGCCCATAGAATAATAGGAGGATCTGGGGAAAAAAAAACAGTTAAAAAGTAAATAAGCACTGCAATTAATTTATGAGACTGACCCTTCATATCATAGCTGCCCTGCTATATAGATTTTCCCTCCCTCTTGCCTTCTACATAAAAGCTTCAAGCATTCTCAGAAGAGGTATCCAAATATGGTCTGTTATCAAAAGTTTAATGGAGATGCACAATTCCTTCACACACAGTCTTCCTCCTTGGAATCACCTAGAGCTGTGTGTTTTTAACAGGCATGTTGAGAAGTTCAGTTGATTTTCCTTTTAAGTCTCAAATAAAAATGTTCCTTTTAGGATACAGAGTAGGTGATGATGATGCATCACCAGACTGTGTATCTAAGAAAGCCTGTACTTGTGCTTAGCTCCAGTGCTTTGGGCCTTCTGTCACTCTTGGTCAAAGAAAAACAGCAGGTCCCAAGCAAATGGAGCTCTATAACACAAAAAGATGTAATAGACTGTAGCAATCTACTTCTAAAGAGCTACCTCATTTAGCTGATTACTCAAGGTCTTCCTATCATCATGAGTATGATCATACTGACAATAAAAGGTTATCATCCAACCCCTAAACTGCTAAGAAGCTTACTGCACCAGCCTGGGTGGCTTTGATTAGCAACAAAGAGCAAGATATGCTCATGTGTTGAACTGAAGATGAATGCCAAGAAGGTGAGTGCATCACAAATGACCTAGTTATATGGCTCTGATCAAAAATCCACAGACAAAGGGAGTAAACAAAAAGTGGTTTGATTTACCAGAAATTATCAAGAAAATTTTATGGGGAAAAAAAAGGTCTGTGGGCTGTTGGGAGCATTTGGGAGGAAAAATATTTGAGTTTGAAAGTCACATTTTGTCTCACCTAGAATATTCCATGGAAAGTGAGAAACCAGTAATCTAAAAACATGCTAAAAGCCACAGTAAAAAAAACGGAACAACTGAGAGATCTTAAATATCTCCTTTTAATAACCTGTTAGCAACTCTATAGAATCCATTTATAGTTTCAGAAAACAAAAAAAATCTGCAGGAAAAAAGTTTTTATATCGCTCTAACCAACAAAACATTCTAAATGTCATAAAAGCATTATAAACAAATATTTCAGCAAAAAGGGAAGTGATGCTTCCACAGACAGAGGTGTAAGCAAAGCAATAAGAAAAATTAAAGCTTCATATATTTAAGAAAAATCAGTATATTACATTTTTATGTCTTTCAAAATGTGCCAATTATTCATGGAGTGTTCAATATATTCCTGTTCATACTTTGGAAATACATATGTTTGGAATGCATTTACTATGTTTTCATCTTATTTTTTTTCCTGGCTACAAAAGCATGCTCTTTTGAAGTAAAACCAATAATCTTTTCTTACCATGGAAGAATGTTAAACAGGGTTACATTACCCCATTGAAACTGATTAGATGACAGACTATTCTTGACTTTTATAACAGAATTCCTTAGAAGTAATCTGAAAATCACAGGAAAAAAAACCCTCTCCTTTAGTTTATATAAAAAAATCTCTTTCTAGTTTATACATAAACCACTTTTGGACTCACAAAATAATCAATCCAATCTTCTGGGGAGAACACAAACATCTCTCTAAATCATTTTATCTTCCATACAATTACAAACTAACCAAAAAACTACTTTTTATTCAGAATTAATATTTGAGCAACATGCTTCATTTGAAACAAACCAGTACACAATCAGGCAAAGAGCTGGTTTCACAACATTTTTAGCCATGAAAGAAGAGGATCATTTAACTGATGCTATATTCTATGATAGATTTTTTTTTTTACATGAAAATCATAAGTTGACTGCCTCTGGCTCTGGCTGCTAAAGGTAATACACGTTTTACAAACCTTTTATTAGAGAAACCATAAAAGTTATTTTTAAACCCTGTTCTAAAAAGGAATCACTGTGACTCAGCCTCTACACAGAGCTGTGGTAAAACTGCATGGCATTGAAACACATCTGCCTTCCTTGGCCAGCCAGGAATCAGCCCATGAACCACAATTTGAGAAATGTCCCTTAGACAGAGCCAAATTCCTAGCAGGCGCTGGCTTGTGAAATGAGTGGTTTGACATGAGTGAAAACTTGGGGTTTTCTCATGTAACTATGTAGGTCTGTTTGAACTGAAAGCTCCGGCAATGCATTCAAAAAGGCTGCAGGGGAGAAAGTCTATATTCACAACCAAAACGGAGGAAAACATGCAAAAATTGACAAACCAGCCCATGGCAACCTCTCCTGTCCTGCGTCTGCGTTGCTCAGTATGTGATGCTGCTGCAGGTGCTGAAGGCAAGGTCAGTGGGAACTGGTTGTTTACTATTTACCTTTGAGCTGAGAGATCTGCCAAGGATGCAGAATCCAGGTCATATAGTGCTACAGAGAGGATCCTTCCTCAAAGATTTTGTCAGGAATGCTGTGACTCAGATGCTTGTGGCTTTGTCTCACAGCTACTTGCCATGCATGCAACACCATTCTCCCCTTTACTGTCCAGTGGGTCAGCGTTCTCATACTTTAAAAATCAGACACCTCACCTATGTTGGTGTTGTTTGCTACAACTAATTAGTAGGCAAGGGTTGCAATTCAGGTACCAAAGAATTCAGTGACTTGTTTGCAAGTTGTTCTTGACCTTACTAATGAATCGTTAATATTTAAGTCAGGAGCAGACAACCTGCAGCTTTGAAACTGAACAGTTTGCTAGCAGTTCAAACCCCAAAACTGCAGTTGACCAGCAGCAGGGATGCTCTGGCACTAATAACTGCCTGATAAAATCTGAGTCCTTGAAATGGAAGAAAAGAGCAACTGCTGAGGTCAGTGCTGGTGGACTGCCTGGGAGACAGATGTGAGTGAAAATCCTGCCCATCCTCCTACAGAGCTGAGGACACCTTTAGTGATCTAGTCTCTCCTTCCTGCGAAACTGTTAAAATATCATTTAAAGCTTCCTTTGGGACACCAGCTAACATGAAACAGCTTGGGAGCAAAATGTGACTAGCAATCATAAAGTACAGCACCACTTGAAAGTCCAACCCTGTCTCTGACAAGTGCCCCCAATGGCACCATTGGCAAATTAGGACCATGCCAAGCATGTACAGCATTTCTGATGTTCTCCCAAATGCCAATTGCTCTTTCTCTCCTCATTACATGCCATCACACATTTTTGTTTCATAGAATCAACCTGGTTGGAAG